TTAAATAGTTAATGAATTTTAAATAGTTATTTGATAAGAATATCGATATATTTTTGTTATGCATAAAATATTGTATATTGATGCATATTACTCAAAATTCAAGAGTACAACTAAATTATTCATAAGTACAACTTACTAAAACTCGATGTTTGAATTCGTATAACTAACTGCGGATAAACATAATCAAATAGAGGATAAACATCTCATTTTAAAATATAAAAAATCTAAAATATATTAAAATAATTATCGAGTTCAAACAAAATAAATAGTTATTATCTTTATAAGAAAATTATATTATTAAAACAAATATAAATTATTTCGTTATTTTACCTAAATTAAATTATAAAAAAATTGAATTAAAAAATTACCCAAAAAACGAGGAATTTTAAATAGTTAATTTAATACTAATATCGATTTTTGTCAAATTTTTATGATATCTTCAAATTTATATTTTATTCAAAAATGAAAAACATCATCGCTTTCTCAAAATCACATAAGACCATATTATAACATCGACTGGGATAAAGAATAAAATGAAATATTAAAATCAAGATGTATCTCGCTGCATTGCGCGAGTACTCTTCTAGTTATATTATAAAGCATTTGACAAAAACTCTTAAAAACCTTTGTATATATTAAGTACTGTTTATTGATGCATATTACTTAAAATTCAATATTACATGTTATTTTACGTAAGTACAACTTATTAAAACTTCATTTTTAAATTCGTGTAACTAACTGTAGATAAACATAATCAAATACAACATAAACATCTATTTTAAATATAAAAAAATCTAAAATATAATTAAGATAATCATTGAGTTCTAACAGAATGTTTAATTATTATCTTTATAAAAAAATTATATTGTTAAACCAAATATAAATTACTTTGTTATCAAATCTAAATTAAAAATTATAATAAAAAATGAATTAAAGAAGTTACACCAGAAAAATGATAACTGTTAAATAGTTAATTCGATACTAATATCGATTTATTTTTTCAAAATTTTATGTTATCTTCAAATTTATATTTTATTCAAAAATAAAAACATTATCGTCTTCTTAAAATTACATATTATATCAATAGAGAAAAAAAAACTAAACATTAAAATCGAAATTTATCTCGTTACATTGCACGAGTACTCTTCTGGTACTTTATTATAAAATAGTTATTTATTAAATTTTAAAAGTTATCTATTTTTATGAATTATATAATAAGTTTTGGAACTCTACAACCCTTTCAACTTCCACGTCCAAAATAATATAAAACATCACATTATTTTTTAAATTATATTTAATTTATTTTATATCTTCTATTATTTCATTTTCTTTTACAATCTAATCATATTAACACAATTAATGTATATGAATCAAAATACATTAAAAAGATATGTTTCTGTTTTACAAATTATACCATTATAATCATCTAATTAATATATTCAAAGTAGGTCTTATATCAAATATTTTTTTATTTAATCATATTATTAGATATCATAAATACATACTGAAATTATTTTTAAAACTTATATTTATAGCTTATAATTACTTATTAAATTTGTTTTATATCCTTCACTTTTTCATTTTTTTTATTTTAGACTTTTATCTATACTATTATACTCCTAAAGCTAGGTACCATTTTTTAAGCATAATGTACATAAATCAAAGGTAATTGTCCAACCCCCTGTTGCCACGATCCCTCGTTTCTCTCCTTCCCTCTTCCTAACGATTATTGATTTCTCTCCATCTCTCCTCCTCGTCCCTTTTCTCCTAAGCTCCATTTCCTTTTATTTGTTCAAGATAATCATGTATCTGTTTCAATGAGTTTCTTTTCGTTCCATTGAATGATTTTATTCACTGATCTTTCATAGGTTTTTGTGTTTCAAATCTTCCTCTGAGTATCTTGAAGATAATTTCTCTCTTTGAAAGTAATAAGCATCACAAACCATCTCAAAATTATGCCGATTGATATCATTACCTCCGTAAGTAAACACCCTGTTTTACATTTGTCGTGTTCGGATATGCAAATTGAGTGCAACATTTTACGGTATGTTGATTGGATATGCAATAGTTCTAAGCTATAAGAAC